CTTGTTGCATGTGCCTGCCCCCTGGGCTCCTTACCGCCGGAGCTCCGCTCCTGTGTGTTCCCGCAGGAAATGACCCCTGAATAAATGTATTTTGTTCTATGTTCTAGCAGCTGAACCTTCTAAGTTCCCTACAAGGAGCTTACTCAATCCAGGCCTGGTCCATACGGTCCATACTGCCCCCACCCTTTCTTTTGCTACTCTCCCCCCCCCGCAAATTACCTTCTCCAGATCTTGCTCCTGCAGGGCCAGCGCCAACTCGTTGTTATCGATCACGGAAGCGGCTGCCACATCCAAGGGAGTGGACCCACGCATGCCTAGAGGAGCAAAGGGAATGGTCAACGGGCAGCGTTTGAAGCCCAAGGCGCAGAGCAGGGGCCTCCAACCTTTTTGAGCCCACGGTCACTTCTGGGATTCCGACACAGCACGGCGGGCGCAATCACAAAATGGCTGCCACAAAATGGCTACCGCAGGAGGCGGAGCCAGCCACAAAATGGCTGCCACGGCTTACCTTCAGGCATAGAGTGAAGATCCTTGTGCTGTGGTGGCCGCTGCTGCCAAAGCAACGTTTTTAAAAAATCTGCACAGCCAATCAAATCTTCAGTGGCCAATCGGAAGTCTTGCTGGGCAAAACCCCACCTGGTCCTGCCCACTTTCTCAAAACACTTGGCGGGCGCCGAGAGAGGTGTCCATGGGCACTGTGGTGGCGATGGGCACCATGTTGGGGGCCCCAGGCATACAGCCTAGTTGGACTAAGGAAGCCCATTTCCTTTTTTTAAAAAGGGGAGCAGTCGAACTCATTCGCACCCTCAGATAGGGTTGCCAAGTGTTACTCACAATTTAGTGGGGGGGAGTCCCGGAGCTCCCTGGGAATATTCTTGTGCGTGATTTGCGTGCACCACGATTACATCGCCCAGAAGTGACGTCATCGGATCGGGCACGTTGGTGGCGGGGCCACAACCATTCGAGGGGAAACCATAGAGTTTTCCCTCGAATGATAGAGCGCCCCCCCCCCCGCAACGTGCCCGATGTGATGATGTCACCTCCGGGTGACGTCTTCACGCCGGGCACGTCTCACACTTTGGGGGCGGGGTTCCCCCCCGGCGGCCCAATCCGGGCCAGCGGGGAACGGGCCTATCGAGCGGGGGTTTCCCCGCCCCCTGGGGCCACCTGGCAACCCTACCTTCAGAGGTTCAGCCCGTCCAGGAACTCCCGTTACTTGTCTTTGTTAAAGGGCAGGGAAAGTTTGGAACGTCCAGATCAATAATGTCAAAAAACGTGAATTCTTAAAAATCCACATTTAAAACAGGGGCGTGTTTTTTTCTTTTCTTTTTTGGAGGAGGGGGGGTGCTTTTTCGCCCACGCTGCGATTCACCCCCAGCCTGCAGCCTTCCTAACCGTGCCGGCTCACCTTTTGTTAAAGGGCAGCGAAAGTTTTGAACGTCTAGATCAAGAATGTCAAAAAACGTTAATTCTTAAAAATCCACATTTAAAAGACGGGCGTGATTTTTTCTTTCCTTTTCTGGAGGAGGGGGGTGCTTTTTCGCCCTCGCTGCGATCCACCTCCAGCCCGCAGCCTTCCTAACCGTGCCGGCTCACCTAGCCCAATTCCGCTGTTCTCTAGCAGATAGCTGAGGTGGTCGAACATGGAGCGCTGGTTCTGGCGGCTGATACGGCAGAAGTAGCACAGGAAACGGCAGCAGTTGGTCACCATCTTAGGGAAGCGGATCTCCTGGTTGGGGGAGAGGGGCGGGGTCAGAGAGATTCCCTTAAACCTTGGCTGGTTGCCCGCCTTGTCGAGTTTTACCCTGTCTCTCTCTTACAGCTGGCCTGAGACGCTTGCTTTCTTGGCTTTATCCAAACAGGATGCTGGAAAAGCAAGAACTTGCCACCAGGATGTTACGTGTGCCCGCTGATTCATTTTAAAAGGGGCTGCTACAATGCTACCGTGCATGCGATGATAGCATGCCTGTGTGCTGTGTTAGGGGACTTTTTCAAGACTCTAGTACAAACCACCACCACCCTTCTCCGAGTCTAATCTGGGAGAGAAAAGGATTCACTCAAGGGGTTGGGGGAGAGGGGCGGGGTCAGAGAGATTCCCTTAAACCTTGGCGGGTTGCCCGCCTTGTTGAGTCTTACCCTGTCTCTCTCACGGCTGGCCTGAGACGCTTGCTTTCTTGGCTTTATCCAAACAGGATGCTGGAAAAGCAAGAACTTGCCACCGGGATGTTACGTGTGCCCGCCGATTCATTTTAAAAGGGGCTGCTACAATGCTACCGTGCATGCGATGATAGCATGCCTGCGTGCTGTGTTAGGCGCGTTTTTCAAGACTCTAGTACGAACCACCACCACCTTCTCTGAATCTAATTTGGGAGAGAAAAGGATTCACTCGAGGCTTTGGCTAAGAAAGCATGCAAAGTTTATTAGTTGCTGTAGATTTCCCGGGTTGTCTGGCCGTGGTCTTGGCATTGTAGAACCTGACGTTTCTCCAGTAACTGTGACTGGCATCCTCAGAGGTATGACACAGAAAGATGGAGTACTCTCTGTGTCAAAGTTTATTTAGAATGATCAGTCTGATGCGAGCTCGTCGGAGTGCCCAAGGCTATGATACCCTAAATAATCCACTTTCAATGCCCTTTCCAACTGGATTCTATTGTGTAAATGGGAAAGATCCAGTTGGAAAGTGCACTGAAAGTGGATCGAAAGTGGATTATTTAGGGTGGGCGATCGCAGCCCAAGTCCCACTAACGAGCCGGCATCCAGAAAAGATACAAAGCACATATTTTATAAGATAAGCTAAGGAGGCCAGGGTCTGGTATTTAGAAAAGGGTACATCCATTCCGTTCTCAAACATAAATTCACTCTAAAGGTAAAGGTAAAGGTTTCCCTTGCTCGAAAGCCAGTCGAGTCCGACTCTAGGGTTGCGGTGCTCATCTCCGTTTCCAAGCCGAAGAGCCAGCGCTGTCCGAAGACGTTTCCGTGGTCATGTGGCCGGCATGACTAAACACCAAGGCGCACGGAACGCTGTTCCCTTCCCACTGAAGTGGTACCTATTGATCTACTTGCAATTCCTTGCTTTCGAACTGCTAGGTTGGCAGGAGCTGGAACTAGAGACGGGAGCTCACTCCGTCATACGGCAACCCGGGTCTCGAACTGCTGAACTACCGACCTTCCACAGCCTGCAGTTCAGCGTCTTAACCACTTGAGCCACCACTCTACCCTATGTTTAAAGTACATTCTACACTCCTACGAGGGACATAAGGACGACAAACCCTCTACACTTTTCCCTGAATGATAAGGGAATGGAATGCTATTCTGGGATACCATGAAATCCTGGAGCCCAGAGTGACTGTGGGCCCTGATGCTGGGCACATGTAACATCACACAGTGTAAACTTCTTCTTCCTCGCTAGCAGCGTGGTTTAAAGCAAGCCTATGACAGACCAGGAAATCAACATAGCTAGGGGTTATTTCCTGATGCACTACAGCCCAGGAATTTGCTACATGTGGAAGCCCAGGAAAGAAAACCTCCCAAAGCTGCACATGTTTACCTCCATCCTCCACCTGAAGCAGGACACTCAAAGCGTGCCCCGAAATGGTTAAGGAATTTCCAGCTCCACCCAGAAGGTTAAGATCTGACATATACATTATCAAACCCTTACAAGAAAAGTTAGAGCAGGAGTCCCCAACCTTTTTTTGATCCTGTGGGCACCTTTGGAGTTTTGACACAGCCTGGTGGCCACAGCCAGGAAATGGCTGCCACAGGGAGCGGAAGCAGCCAAAAAATGGCTGCCACAGGGAGCGGAACCAGCCACAGAATGGCTGCCACAGGGAGCGGAACCAGCCACAGAATGGCTGCCACAGGGTGCGGAAGCAGCTACAAAATGGCTGCCACGGGCAGCAGAACCAGCTACAAAATGGCTGCCACAGGCAGTGGAACCAGCCACAAAATGGCTGCCGCAGCTTAACCTTCACTCACAGAGTGAAGGTCCTAGTGGTGGCAGCTGAGGCCAAAGCAACATTTAAAACGTGGAGCATGAAGCTGGTGGTGCAACAGAGACCCACAAAGAGCCAGTCTAGCCGCGCATGGGACAGGATCCTGGACCAGAGGAAGAAGAGGTTCCATTGCATCTTCGGCCACTTGAATCAGTCTGGAGTCGGTGGGGGGAGGGGGTCGCCATCCATTTGCAAATTTGCCAGCTCCCTCACCTTTGAATCTCCTCCTCCCAGGACATTCACCATCACCTCCATGACGGTCTCGTGCATGCCCAGCGCTCTCATCAGGTTAGGGTGCTGGTAGAAAACTTTGTTGTTCATAATGTTCCTACAAACAAACAAACAAATTTAGGTCCCGGTCACACGATTGCTCCCTCTTCTCCTGCCTCCTCCTGGCTGAATGAGGGCCGGAAGCAGGGCGGCCGGAAGCAGGGGGCGGGGCTTCGTCATGTGCCCCGCCCCCTGTACCTCACCCAGGGGAACTGCGATCCCCCCCGAAATGACCTCTGGTTTTTGCCATTTTAATATCATTTTTTTAAAAAATGTAAGAACCGATTTATTTTTCAGCCCGGAAAAAAAAGGAAAATAAGACTGAAGCTTCCCTGACTGTGCCTGGGGTCATTTTGGAACACCGACACGCATCTTACATTTTAAAAATGTTAAAATTTATACCCTGCCCTGAGCCTGCTTGCGGGGAGGGCGTGGTATAAATCTGATAAATAAATAAATAAAAGTCCCCCCTGTTTTTTTAATTTTTGACCTAGGGGGCAGCAGTCATTTGTGGGGGGGGCATTGCCCCCAAATCCACCCCTGGTGGCGATGGCTCTGTGGCCAAGCCTGCTTAGCTCATAAACCTTGATACACTCAGGCCAAAGTGGGCTATTCAGGCTGCTACAGGTGGAGAAGGACGGAGGGCCGAAATTCAGGGGAGGTCCCAGGGTCTGGATTGGAGGAGGCAGCGGGGTGGGGGCACGTACCCGATACTCTGTATCATCAGATTCTCCTCCTCGGGCCCCATCTGGACGATGAGCAGCGACCGGATCTGACCCAGGCTTTCCAGCAAGCTCATGGTGTCTTCCACGGAGTTGGCGTTGATCGTGTAAGCCTTGGGCAGGGCGCGGATTAACTCCCCGAGGCCGTCGTACTGCCGGTGGAGGAGGCTGAACATCACCCGCACCAGCTCCGGGCTTTGGATGAAGGATTCCTTGGCCCAGTGAACCATGGTGTGGGAGATCAACTCTTGCAGAGTGCCTGAGAGATTGGGGAGAACGGGAAATAGTAGACAAACACAATCAGAGGTCATTTCGGGGGGGATCGCAGTTCCCCCGGGTAAGGTACGGGGGGGCGGGGCACATGACGAAGCCCCGCCCCCTGCTTCCGGCCGCCCCGCTTCCGGCCCTCATTCAGCCAGGAGGAGGCAGGAGAAGAGGGGGGGTAAGTTGCTTCCTCCCTGCCTCTCACCAACCCTGCCTGCCTGGGGCCAGGGAGGGCCTTCGCGGGGCTTCCTTGCACTCCCGCCGGCCTTGCAGGTCCACCACTGGGCCCCTCATGGGGCTCGGCAGTGGAGCTGCAAGGCCAGCGGCGGCGGCCGGGACTGTTGAGGGCGGGGTGTGTGGCCTTATGACACACTTCTGGTGATGTCAGGGGGTGTGGCCTTATGACACACTTCTGGTGATGTCAGGGGGTGTGGCCTTATGACACACTTCCGGTGATGTCAGGGGGTGTGGCATATGCTAATGAGTTATGCTAATGAGTTCCCCTAGCTCTTTTTCTACGAAACGACCCCTGAACACAATCACCCTGCCCACCCGGAATAACTACACAACATCCTGGGGATGCTGAACTAGACGGACCCTTTGTGTGATCCAGCGGGGCTCTTAGCAGCAGTTCCACTCCCCAACATAACAACCTTATCTTTCTTCTTAACCCACCTTTGATAGGATTTCAGTGTAGAAAAGAGATGACAAGGAAGGGAAATGATAAGAGGTTTATAAAATTATGCACGGGGTGGAGAGAGTCAACAGAGAGAACTGTTTCTCCCTCGCTTGAAATACTAGACCTTGAGGGCATCCCGTGAAGCTGATGGGCAGTAGGTTGAGGACGGACAAAAGGAAATACTTCTTATACAGAGAGTGAGAAAAACGTGGGGTTCATTACCAGAAGATGTAGGGATGGCCATTTTGCATAGTCGGCTTTAAAAGTGGATTAGATTGATTCACCGAGGAGAGGTCTATCAGTGGCTACTAACCATGGTAACTGAGGGGAACCACCATGTTAAGAGGCAGTAAACCTTTAAAATCCCAGTGCCAGGAAGCAACATCAGCCTCTCAACCCTCAACCTCTAAGCCCTGTGGGTGGCCCTCCAGAGGAACTGGTTGGCCACTGTGTGAGACAGGATGCTGGACTAGACAGACCATTGGTCTGATCCAGCAGGGCTCTTCTGAGGTTCTTATCATGGAAAGGCCTTCGCCTCTATGCCCTGTTGTTGGCCCTCCAGAGGAACTAGATAGCCAATGGGTGAGACAGGATGTTGGACAAGATGGACCAATGGTGTGATCCAGCATGTATCTTCTGATGTTCTTATCAGGGGAAGGCCTTGGTCTCTCTGCCCTGTTGTTGGACCTCCGGAGGAACCGGCTGGCCACTGTGTGAGACGGGATGCTGGACTAGATGGACCACTGGTCTGATCCAGCAGGGCTCTTCTGAGGTTCTTATGAAGGCCTCGGCCTCTCTGCCCTGTTATTGACCATTCAGAGGAACTGGCTGGCCGCTGAGTGAGACAGGATGCTGGACTAGATGGACCACTGGTCTAATCCAGAATCGCTCTTCTGATGTTCTTATTTTTCGTTTTGCCTAGCATATCAACCAGATGGACTTAAAACCACAGTCCCTAAGGCCCTTCCCTGTCTCTTTGCTACTGATTCAACTCCCCCATGCTCCGGAGAAGTGATGACCACCAGAGTGTTCCACCTCAGACATCTGAGGATGCTCCCACCATCTCTTACAAGAAGGTTTTTGAGGGCTCTTCTAGTCTAGATGAGGGGGCGACTAACACAATTTTGCTGGGCTCCTGACCCACAGCCCTCTGCCCCTAGATAACACAACCCCCCCCCCTTCATTGTTCTCTCCCAACCGCCCTGTTGCACCCACTGGGCGTTGGTTCCTCCTCAGGGGGCTGTTCCTCTTCCAGCTCCTCCTTCTTCTTGCGGAAGCTCGCCACCTTCTCCACCAAGCTCATCAACCTCCGATGGAAAGACTGATCTTCCGCCTGCTCTTCCTCCTCTCCTTCCGCTTGGATGCCTGTTGGGAAAATGGCAAAACCAATCTCTGAATACCAGGAGGCAACGTCAGGGGAAGGCCTCGGCCTCTCTGCCCTCCTGTTGGCCCTCCAGAGGAACTGGTTGGCCACTGTGTGAGACGGGAGGCTGGACTAGGTGGACCCTCACTGGTCTGATCCAGCAGGGCTCTTCTGAGGTTCTTCTCAGGGGAAGGCCTCGGCCTCTCTGCTGTGTTGTTGGCCCTCCAGAAAACTGGTTGGCCACTGTATTAGACAGGTTGCTGGACTAGATGGACCCTCACAGGTCTGATCCAGCAGGGCTCTTCTGATGTTCTTATCAGGGGAAGGCCTCGGCCTCCCTGCCCTGCTGTTGGCCCTCCAGAGGAACTGGTTGGCCACTGTGTGAGACGGGAGGCTGGACTAGGTGGACCCTCACAGGTCTGATCCAGCAGGGCTCTTCTATAGTTCATATGAAGGCCTCGGCCTCTCTGCCCTATTGTTGGCCCTCCAGAGGAACTGGTTGGCCACTGTGTGAGACGGGAGGCTGGACTAGGTGGACCCTCACAGGTCTGATCCAGCAGGGCTCTTCTTATGGTTTTATGACCCGGGCCTCCGGTTGGATAAACAAGTGGAAACAGTGGCCTGGGGTGCCTTTCACTAATTTTGGCTAGTGAGCCAACTATGGAAACTCCTGGGCAGGAAAGACTTCAGCTCTGGTGCTTGCCCTGGTAACATCTAGATTAGATTACTGCAATGCGGTCTACACAGGGCTGCCCTTGAAGACTGACCAGAAGCTACAGTTTGTACAGAATGCTGCAGCCAGAACGTTGATTGGACCGGAAAGGCAGCTTTAACATGTTTTAAATAATAAAACAATAATAAAATACCAGTTGCAAGGATTTCTGGCCTTCCAGGAAGCTTGCTGTTAAAATCGTCGACACTAATAGGATCAGTTCAGTTCAAAACCTTTATTGCCCTAGACACGAATAGGATCGTCAAAGCAGGGTAATGGAGTTGCAGAGGAAGGTGGGGCTCTGCTATTCAGCACCTGCCTCGCAACAATGCGCGGATCGGCTGTCAGTGTGGATGGCAGGGGAGAACGGGACAGAAGCATGGGTGCTTCTTACCACAGTGAGACAGCAAGTCGGCGTGGAACTCCAACAGCTCGTCCCGGATTTCTTCAGGCACTGGGCATTCCTCCTCATCGGCGCCATTCTTAAAATGCAGGAGCATGTTAATCTGTTGGGAAGAGGTGGGGACAGATTGCAAACGGTCTATGCTTTTGGACAAGACGTATCCACATGAATCTGCCTTATACTGAATCAGTCCAGCGGGGTCGGTATTGTCTAAGACTGGCGGTAGCTCTCCAGGGTCTCAGGCGGAGGTCTTTCCCATCACCTCCTGCCTGGTCCTTTTTAACTAGAGATGCCGGGGATTGAACCTGGGACCTTCTGCCTGCCAGGCAGAGGCTCTGCCACTGAGCCACAGCCCCTCTTTACAGCTCTCCAGGGTCTCAGGTGGAGGTCTTTCCCATCACCTCCTGCCAGGTCCTTTTAACTGGAGATGGCGGGGATTGAACCTGGGGCTTTTTGCCTGCCAAGCAGATGCTCTACCACTGAGCTACAGCCCTACTTCATGGCTCTCCAGGATCTCAGGCTGTGGTCTTTCACATCACCTGCTGCCTGGTGCTTTGTACCTGGAGATGCCGGGGATTGAACCTGGGACCTTCTGCCTGCCAAGCAGATGCTCTACTACTGAACTACAGCCCCACTTCATGGCTCTCCAGGGTCTCAGGCTAGATTCTGGTGCCTCTGGACTCAAATTTAGATTCTGTTGCTACTGGACCTGAAACTGGATTCTGGTGCCATTGGACTCGAAACTAGATTTTGGTGTCACTGGACCCAAATAGATACTGACTCTAGGGGGCGGTGCTCATCTCCGTTTCCAAGCTGAAGAGCCAGCGCTGTCTGAAGACTTCTCCGTGGTCATGTGGCCGGCATGACTAAATGCCGAGGTGCACAGAATGCTGTTACCTTCCCACCAAAGCGGTACCTATTTATCTACTTGCAATTTCTTGCTTTCAAACTGCAAGGTTGGCAGGAACTGGGGCCAGAGACAGGGTCCCGAACTGCCAAACTACAGACCTTCCGGTCTGCAGCTCAGCGTCTTAACCTCTGAGCCACCGCAGCCCCTGTTGGATACTGATGCTACTGGACTTGAAAATAGATTCTGGTGCTACTGGACCCGAAACTAGATTTTGGAGCCATTGGACCCGAAACTAGAATCTGGTGACACTGGACTCGAATTCAGATTCTGGTGCTACTGGACTCGAGCCTAGATTCTGATGCCACTGGACCCCAATCCAGCTTTGCTGAGTCAAAATACTAACACAAGGGGCCGACTTTGGCCCTCCCCAGCCTTGTCTTTTGCTGGATGCTCCATGATACCTATTGTGGAGTTGTGGTGGCTCAAGTGGTTAAGACGCTGAACTGCAGGCTGTGGAAGGTCAGTAGTTCAGCAGTTCGAGACCCGAGTGTGCCGCATGACGGAGTGAGCTCCCGTCTCTAGTTCCAGCTCCTGCCAACCTAGCAGTTTGAAAGCAAGAAATTGCAAGTAGATAAATAGGTACCACTTCAGTGGGAAGGGAACAGCGTTCCGTGCGCCTTGGCATCTAGTCATGCCAGGCACGTGACCACGGAAACGTCTTCGGACAGCGCTGGCTCTTCGGCTTTGAAACGGAGATGACTACCGCAACTCTAGAGTCGGATTCGACTGGCTTTCGAGCAAGGGAACCTTTACCTTTACCCCATGACACCTATTATCTGATTTGGAAACCGGGAGAGTGTGGGAAGCTGTTGCTGTCAAGGAACGCCGCTCCCCCCCCAGCCTCTGCCCCCTCTCCCACATGCACACCTGCTCCTGCGGAGGCGAGCGGAACTCCCGGGTGCGGCGCGCCGTCTCCGCCGCCGACATGGTGAACGCCAGCATCAGGGTGTTGTAGCGCTTCCGCTGGTTGGTCTGCAGGTTGTCCATGTAGCACTCCGAGAAGGCGATGATGGCTTCCACACGGTGCTGCAGCTCGCGGTCGCAGAAGAACTGCAGCAGGTGGCACATCTGCAGAGAAGAGGAGGGGGAGGGAGAGCCATGAATGCACACAGACCACCACCAGAGACGGGATGCTGGGGGACCAGGGAAGAGACACTTGGTATAAGACGCTTTTCCAGATGAACATGGTGGGGGGAGTCCTGCCTCTCCAGAGTCTGTCTGATCTGCTTCAGGGAATAT